TCTCTCTCTCTCTCTCTCTCTCTCTCTCTCTCTCTCTCTCTCTCTCTCCCCCTCCCTCCCTCCCTCCCTCCCTCCCCTCTCTCTCTCTCTCTCTCCCTCTCTCTCTCTCTCCCCCTCTCCCTCTCCCCCTCTCCCTCTCTCTCTCCCCCCCTCTCTCTCCCCCTCTCCCTCTCCCTCTCCCCCCCCCCCCTCTCTCTCTCTCTCTCTCTCTCTCTCTCTCTCTCTCTCTCTCTCTCTCTCTCTCTCTCTCTCTTCCTCTCTCTCTCTCCCTCCCTCCCTCCCTCCCTCCCTCCCCCTCTCTCTCTCTCTCTCTCTCTCTCTCTCTCTCTCTCTCTCTCTCTCTCTCTCTCTCTCTCTCTCTCTCTCTCTCTCTCTCTCTCTCTCTCCCCCCCCCCTCTTTTCCCCTCCCTCTCCCCCCCCTCTTTTCCTCTCTCTCTCTCTCTCTCTCTCTCTCTCTCTCTCTCTCTCTCTCTCTCTCTCTCTCTCTCTCTCTCTCTCTCTCTTTTCCCCTCCCTCCCTCTCTCCCCCCCTCTCTTTCTCTCTCTCTCTCTCTCTCTCTCTCTCTCTCTCTCTCTCTCTCTCTCTCTCTCTCTCTCTCTCTCTCTCTCTTTCTCTCTCTTTCCATCATCCCTCATTCTTCTGGTTGTTGTTTTGTTGTTATTATTGTTATTATTTTATGTTAACATCATTAACATTATCACTATTTCCGAAATATGTTACGTGAACTTCTCTCTGATTATAGAAATGAAATTATTGAAATGAAAGTTCGCGAATAGAATATTCTTTTGAAATCGTTCTCAGGAGAGGCAGTGAGTCTTTATGCTGACGCAGCCAGCCATTCCTCAGTGGCTGAGTTATGCTTGCAGTGGATTCCGATTTTTCGCTTCCGCTGATGAAGGTGCCCGTTATCCGGAGGTACGCCGGCTCCGGACACGGATCCTTAAGCTCCGGTTCTTGGGAGACGGAGAGCTCGTGTTTTGCTTATGTCATTGTTTGTTCATATGTTTACTTCACCGCGAAGATTGTTTCATATTTTGTCGACAAGTATGATCACTTGATTACTCAGAAGCGTATTTACTTTTAACCTGAATATGCACATTCGTTTGTTTTTTTTCAACCGCGGGCAAAGTTGGTATCTGATTCTTTTGTGGCTTTCAACTGAGCCCGACAACACTTACGTTTATTGTTTTTTATTATTATTTCTTTACATTATATATTTTCGGCTCACACATTGTAAGGATTTATGGAGATTGAGGATTTTTATCAAAGGTGTAGTATTTGAGTTCCATAATAGAATTTGCAGCGCCGGTAGAGTAACATGTAATTTGATGCATTTTACATTACATTTGAAATACTTCCGTATCATTCATTTTAAGAGGGAATATCTGACTGATATCTTGATATATATCTGTTGACATCTATCTGTTGACAGTAATATATTCCCGAATACGTTTCACCTTACCGAAAGTTGAGTTTCTCTTCGGCAGTGCACGGGAAGGAGTCAGAAGCCCAGAATAGCCCCAAGGAAGCAGAGTCGAATATTCCGTGTTGCAAGGGGTGAGGCATGGGGGGAGTGAATGCATGGCAGAGACCGCGGCGCATGCCCTTCCCAGGGAATGTTAGACCTTTTAATTATTAACGGCTCGACTGTTAGCGCACGTCATGGTTGTGTCCGTTAGGAGCAAGAAGAAATTTGAATGTTTTTGAAATTGCTTGAAATCAAAAGTAGTGCATACAAACTAACTATTTCGTATGGTAATCTTTGCAAAAGTAAAAATCTGACACGTCTGCATGTAACATTCAACATTGAAACGAATAACCAAATATTATTGATAATACTTGAATTTCCTTATTCTTTGCCGAAGATGGACTCCGACCCAAAGTGTATCCAGTGCTTTTGCTTTCCGGCTTGACTTCACATTCCGCGAAACAGTTCAGAAAAAAACGAAGCTCTGCAGTGAATTTGCGGTGTAACACGGGCGCGTTAAAAGCTGCGTGTGACACATGTTTCGAGAAAAAACCTTATTCAGCCGATATCGCGTGAATTCCTCCTTGCGGGACCTTGGGAAGAACGAGTCACCAGCAAACCAAGTGTAACATTGATATACCTTCCCCGCAACGTAGCGCAAACGTCATGCACGCGGACAGGGTAGGATGCTGGGGCATTGGGATACAATCACATGTTCGTCTACTTTCTGATTTTCAAGTAATTGATATCCTGATTTTAGCTGAAGTTGAATGAGGTGCTTCCAGCCATTCTTCATATGTATATTGTTGACATGGATTTCGGCAGTAAAATAAGAGACGGTGTGGGTTTGTTCTTCCTTATCTAGTTCTGGTGAATTGTATAATACAAAGGCTTTGGTGGGCCACGGCCCTTTGAGCAATGCGGACACTTCTATTTGGTGTGAAGTCGGAGATTTCAGGTAACGGCAGAATTTTCGATTACTTTGGTTGGCGCTGGGTGGCTTGGAAACCGAGCGCCGCTGAATTGTTTATGCAGCATCGGAGGCGGATGGAACTGGCTTGGATCAGCTGAAGTGTTTTAGGGCCGAAAGGGCCGACGAAGCGACACGTGTCTGGCCGCGTTCCTTGCGCCGGCCCTTTGTTGTTGTGGTGTGCGAAGGCCTTCGTCGCGTCTTCCTTGTTTCCGCCTCGCGATTTGAGATTGAGCTTGGCTCGGTGGGTGCGGTCGGCGCATTCCTGCAATGAAATGGGCTCTTGTGAGAGGTCTTGGATGCTAGGGATGTGGGTTCATATACAGAGTGCGATAGGCGGTCCAGTTAACTTAAAGGCTGTTTTACAAAGATCACACACACACACATGTAATATATATATATATATATATATATATATATATATATATATATATATATATATATATATATATATATATATACATATACATATACATATACAAATATATATATATATATGTATATATATATATATATATATATATATATATATATATATATACAAATATATATATATATATATATATATATATATATATATATATATATATATATATATATACATATATATATACAAATATATATTTATATATATACATATACATATACATATACAAATATATATATATATATGTATATATATATATATATATATATATATATATATATATATATATATATATATATATATATATATATACAAATATATATATATATATATATATATATATATATATATATATATATATATATATATATATATATATATATATATTATATATATATGTATATGTATGTATATATATACATATATACACTAGCATTTATAGGATTGCTGATTATAACAATGACAATTATCAATGCTCATCTTCATGAGTGATGCCATGCATGGTCTAGTATAAGTTTCAAGCAGTTAACTTCACTTTAAAAAATCCGTTTCCATTTTCTTTGAGTAAAACCTTTTTGTCAAACTCCGCTCTGTGAATTAGAAAAGAATCTATTCTTCTGGTCGTGGATATTCCCCTGATTGAGCACGCATGATATTCCTGGTACCAGCCACCAGGACCTAAACGTGAAGGTTGCTTGCTGGAATTTGTGTGGCGCTGTAAGGAAGTCTTTCTGCCAACGCCAGCGCTTACCGTTGCGGAATAAGGCGCTGCGTGGACCTTCTGCGTCCACCACGACCCACCCCCTCTCTCCCATGCCCTTCCCAGCGCCAGCCTGCTGTCCTATCTATACAGATACCCCGTGATCTGCCGAATATTCCTCTTGGTACAGAGTGTGTTTGTGAATCCAGTAACTGCCTTTATTTATTCATTTTATTATATGAATTCATCTTTTGAGAAAGGGGGAGAGGTAGGGAATGGGAGAGAAAGACAGGGAAAGAGGCAGAGAAGGAGGGAGAGACAGGGAGAGAGGAAGCGTCAGAACACTAAAAATCAAATGAGAGAAAGAAGGAAAGAAACCAAGGCATGGCAGGCCCTTTTGGTGCTATGGTTGCAACACAGCAAGTGGACAGTTGTTTATCCATAACACATTATACGTCTTCCTCTGCATTATTATTACTCCACAAATAGTGATGGTGGTAATTAAATGGTTAATCATAGTAATAATAGGAATGCTAGAAAACAATTTTACGTTGTTTGTTTTATAACTTACTTTTATTATTAGTGTAAGCAGGGTGCAGTAACAATGTATAAAGGGTAATATCACACGCACACGCGCGCGCGTACATACACGGGCACCCACACGAAAGAAACCCACGGCGATGGCTCTGAGCGGTGCGGTATCTTCCTAGGGCCGGGGAGCATCGCCTTTTATTACAGTGAAGCGGATTATCGTTTCGCTTGGTGTACATTAAGGTCTATAGTTACAGACGCGGTTGATATGTGAAAATCTATCCATGATTAGTATGTTATAGTGAGCGGGTTTACCATGAGTTTTAATCCGGGATTAATTAACATTGCAGTCTTATTGTAATGCCAATGACATGCTATCCTTGATAAATATTTCTCTCAGATTACTTGCCCACATGCGACCTTTGCCACCCCCCCCCCTCACCGCACTCCCCTTCCCCCGGCCTGCAAGAGCAAGCAGATGTCGACTCGCCCCTCGCAACAACTAATTATCAGTTGAGACAACGGCTTTGAAATCCATGAGGAATTTGGAAACTGTTGTCATAATTACAATGGCTCTTCTTTTTACATGGGTAATGATATCGTACAGCAATACAGACTAAGTAAATACATTAGGCGGGGAGATATAAAATAAAGTAAGATGGTCACATCATTAGAATTAGAGGTATACATGGTTTGGCTGTAAGTGAACGCACGCGCGCGCGCACGCACGCGCACACACACACACACACACACACACACACACACACACACACACACACACACACACACACACACACACACACACACACACACACACACACACACCCTTCGTACTTCATTACAGGCATTTATAATTAGTGATAACGTACGGTGATTAATATTTTCTCCTTTGCTTCCTTCGTAG